GAATGCTGCGTATGGTCTGATTGGCCATGATGAACACCAACGACTTCAGGGCCTGGTAGCTTGTTGTTTTACCGGAGCGAGACTACACAAGTGCTCGGCGCTGCAAGTGTGTGGAGCTTGAGAGCAGCTCTCGTATTTGCTGCGCAGTCAAACAACGCCTTTCAGCATTGCTGCTTTGGCTATCGGAGCCGGCTGAACTGCATCAAGGTGCTTGGAGAGTCCTAGAGCTGTCGTACTGGTAAGGATGTGCAAATGGGGCACACCAAGAGCAGCCTTTTCCAGAAGCAATTGCCAGAGTTTTGCCTTCCTTTCGTACAAACCACTTCTGGTTTCCTCCAGGAGCCCCAAAAAGGGTGCATGGTTTAGAATGTGGGTAGAGGGTTTAGGACTTTAGTCCCTGCTCAAACAAGGCTTTAAGGTTTTGGGTTTCAGGGTTTCAGTCCAAATCATTCCGAAACATTCCAAAACAGTCAGAATAATTCATCCAAATAATTCAACATAGTTCAAGAACCATTCAAAGTCATTCGAATGATGTTCACAAACCTTACACAAAGGCCCGTATGATATCGTCTTGAGAACATACCCTGTTCGTATGATTGACTAAGCTAAACCGTACACGCCGAAAGCCCCAAACCCCAAGACGCCCAAAGCCCTTACCGCATCAACCCAGGTTCGACATCGTTGGTGGCTCTGAAGCCGGCACGAAGCTGATGAACGCTCCTCTTCTGAGTTGGGGTGGTCTGCGGCTGACCCCTAAACCCGAAATCCCTGAACCCTGCCTTCAAGTGGAAGCGTTCAAGGCTTTGTGGGTTGGGACTGTGGCGCATCATTCGTACAGGTTTCCGCAAGAGTCGGACTAACTAGTAAGTAAGACCTGAGCCCCAAACATCCCCAAACTGCACAAGAAATCCGCCAAGAAGTCTAAACCCTAAACCCTAACCCCTAAAACCTAAACCCTAAGAGCCCAGGTGTGCCAGCGACCCTGGAGCTTGTGTGAAAATCTCGGAGCCACCGAGCGCTTTGACAACAAACGGCAACGCTCTTCGTTGTCTAAGGCTTGCCGTAGCTTCCAGCTTCAGAATCTGTGATACACCTGTGTTTGGGGCAGTATGGAACAAAGAAGGGCGCCACAGCATGCATGGCTTTACATTGTAAAAGAGCTAAACTAATGAGAACAAAAGAGGGAAAGAAAAGAGTGAAGCGAAAGAGAGAAAGGGAGAGCGAAACAAAAGAACACGCACTCATTTCATTCATTTGTTTCTTTTGTTCGCTCATTCCTTTCACCTTTCGTTCCTCTTTTTCTTTCACCACTTCACCAACAGCCCACGCTCCAGACACAACAGCTGTTTCCTAGAATTGAGTCATCCTTGGTTACTCTAGGTTGAGACTGTTGACTGGAGCTGTGATGGTAACTGGGATCTGGTTCATCTTGGAACTCTCTTCTTGGAACTTTGCCTTCTTTCGTGCGTGTCTCAATCATTCCCTAAGCTCAACCTATAAATGAGTCACAGCATTCTATTAAAATTAAGGCAAACAACTTTCTATCTTATGGGTTATTTAGTTTGCTTTGTTCATTCCTGGTTTTCTGTTTTATTTAATGAAATGTGGAACGGAACCACAAATTACGACCGACGGGTTCACATTGCGGTGCAGACCACGCATGACGCGTGAATTCCGACTGCGCAGCAGGAGTCCATCAGACAGTCGTAAGGGAGGATCTCCGTCTTGGGGCGATGGGTTTGGGGATTCGGATCGCGGGGTTACGGAATGCGGCGCACGAGGACCCAGAAATTGTCTTGAAGCTTAGATTGTGTCTGGCGTAGACGTTCAGTAGGTTGAGATTAGAAGGGCTCGAGCGGCCTTGGTTGCGTGCTTCACAGTCTTCCGTCGTTGAGATTGGAGTCTGCCAAGGAGTATCATCACAGCCTGCGCTGTCATGACCCACGCCAACATGCTGAAGGAGGATCCCTGGAGCCATTTGAGTCCTAGAGCCCGTCTGAAAGAGCTTTGCAAGATTTCGGAAGCAGTCGCCTCCCTCCGAGCCGCCTTGCTTGTCTCAGGACCGTCTCAAGGCCCGGGGCCCGGCTGGCGGGATCAGGAGCTGCGGGTTTGGGCGTCAGGCGCTCTCTCCTTTTTGTTTTGTCAGGGGTTGTGGCTATAGGTTGAGCCCTCGATTTCGGTAGGGGTTTGAGTTGAGCTGCAAGGGGGGAGTCGCATGCTTTCGCCAGCTTCTGCACCAGCACCGGAAGTTTTCAGAACCCTTTCTCCGGCCCTGGGTGAGCTTCAACTGTAGCAGCCCGGAGCCCAAGAAATTCAAATTAGAGGTCTGAATAATTGGAGTGATGTCCCCTAAGCGTACCGCGGGCCTTTGTGAGTCTGATGATGATGTCCTGACAACTCTCGTCAGGCCTTTCCGTCCCCTTTCCAGTCATGTCGTCTGGGTCAACGACTTCATAGCTGGTACCAGCACTGAGGGTCCAAGGGCAGTGGCACGCTCTTTCTGGCAATCCCGACCACAGTTTCACCACAGAGTTTAGCATGTAATTTTGGGACACGCTGCCCAGTGCTGCAGAACGCAGCCCGCAGCCCGACAGTCCAACGTCAAAGTCAAAGTCAAATGTCATGTCCCCCTACAGTTCCTGTACGATGAAACTACTACTATATATCTACTCTAGTGTAGCTATTCTTTCAGATCCTAGACTCTCAAATCCTGATCCTGAAGCGACAGAGAGCCGCTGAGGTGGGCATCACTGACGGCTTTATCCGCATCAGCTGCGGCATCGAGGCCGCAGACCCTAAACTCGGAGCGATTGTCGAGCTTTGGTGGTTCTGGAAGGCTTTACGCTGGGTCCTTTGGAGTAAGCCACTGATGTTCTCGGTGCTTTGAAACCAGTGATGTTCTTGGCAGGTTGAGGGCAAGGCTAGTGGAACACTGCTTGAGGCCCCTAAACCCGTAATCCTCATGAGCTGTAGTTCGGGCAACAACTCGAGACCCTCAACCCCAAACGCTGAAATCCGGATCCTGGGATCCGGGAACCCTCCGAGACCCAGAGCCGCGCTGCCAGGACTCAGCGGATCTGATCCGGGCTCTCGAAGTAGCGCTGGCGCAGATCTAAGCATCGGCTAGCTTCCAAGCCGACGAAGTTAAGTTAACAAAGCCCAAACTCCAATCATTGTGTCGTCGGGGTGTTGCATCCAGTCTGCTAACCTTGGACGTTCTCCAGCGATTTCCGTGCTCCCGACATCTCGCCCTAAAGTTCTCCAGAGCCACTATGCACGGTCCAGGGTTTTTTTGGGATCTGGTTTGAGGATGTGGGCGGGGGGTTTACATCTACAACAGAGTCGGCCTTTACTTCGCAAGCTTCCCGGCGGCCATGCCAAAAAACAGAGCGAAAGGGCAAGATCGTATACATCGCCCATGAACTGAGAGACATGTTGAATGCTCTTGTTTATAATAAAGGCCGATTTCGGGATGTGGCTCTACGCTTTGTGTTCTCATCACAGAAACTCATAGAGTCCGTAGCTGTGGCAGAGACTAGACAAAGTTGGAGCGGCTTTCAATGAACCACTGGTGCTTTCCTTCAGGAGTTCCTTCACTTATATAGTGCTTTCCACGGGCTAAGCGACGGAGGGTCTAAAATCAGAGCCGCTCCGGGGCTCCTGATCCTACGAGAAAAACCACGAGTGGGGCCTTTGAGCCCGACTTCCCGTTGATCCTTGGTTGATGCGACCAGCGCTGACCCCGCAGCTGGCGGATGGGTGATGTGGCCGTTTTTTCGCTCAGGCCCTGTGCCCAGACGCCGAAGGCCCCCAAGGAAGAAACTGAAGGCGTGTGCCAGGGCCACGCTCTCAACCTCTGGAACTGAAGAGTCGTCTAGGACACAGCACTTGGACAAAGACTCCGCTTGTAGACTTGTCCCTTTTGTAGAGAAGGTCGCAAGGTTGGCTTTTCAACAGCGTGGCCACAGGTCTTGTGCTTGCCTTGAGGGGTGCGGCACTATGCGGCACTAATCCCGTCAGTCTTGCTAGGAACCTGCGTTGCATTACGCACGCTTCGATGGTTGCTTGCATGGTTCTTCGGGCAACCGGTCCGTTTCAGCAGCTGGTGTTTATGTGCTCTACAGTGCCTGCTCAGTCGTGCAGAACGATCCATCGGCTGTAAATCAAAACTTTAGATCACCTGGCAGGGTTGGAAGCCCATTCAACACCCTAGAACCCTACACCCGCAACTCTACATCGTACCACAGAACAACTTAAGAAAAAGACCGTAGGCCCGTCGGACTATCGGCAACGTCTCCTGCGCTTAGCAGAGATAATCCCCAGCCAACAGCGCAGTGCGCGCCGGAAAAAGCCTAGGGTTCAAGGTTGTTCATGCAATGAAGGTGTGACTACCAGCGTGGGAGTGTGCTGTCGCGTCGAGTAGAAGCATGACCTTAGTGTTCGTGGTCGTTGACTGAGCGATGTTTTCGCATTCTTGATACGATCTACATCTGCTAATCTGATAAACAATCATGAAACATGCAGCACATCTTCGGGTGCCACCTTTGTGTGGTTGACTGCATGTTGTGCACGAAAGACTCTCGTCCTGCATCAGCTGGTGTTTGCTTCGAAAGGTGTCTGACAGTCTGACATGCTGCAGCATTTTCACAAGCGTGGTAAGCATGGAAAGTAAATTTTCCGCAAGACAACGATAAGAACAAGCTTAACGCAGCAAATGTCATCCTGAACTTGCGCGCCTCAACGATGGATAAGTATCTCCCCCGGCTGACGTTCCTGCTGCTCCCTCCCTGAGAGGGGCATCAAGACTTATCATGTGACCCACAAACCCACAAGAAGCCTCGCCCTAGAACCCCGTCACTTCTGCCACCCCACCCTCGAATCACCAAGCAGACTCTGAGATTCGAACCCTCAAAACCTTCCGCTGCCCAATTTCTTCGCGAACCCTTAAGCAAAGTAAGCCTTCACAGAGGAGCCAACAGTACGGCGTGCAGATTTCAAACATGTCAGCCGCCGGCTTTCGTTTCTTTGATGTGGCCAGGCGGGCTAGGCCCCAAACCTCGAACCTTAAGACCCCGTTGACTTCAGGGTTCAGGGACTTGGGGTTACCGGTTTGGGGTTCAGGGACCTGGGCTTAGGGTTTAGGGTTTGGGGTTCTGATCCCGTACACCGGTGTCCACGACATCTACACTGTGACAAAGCAGCGACAGAAACTGCAACGACGTCCGCATCAATGTACTTCAGGGTTGTGTAAACCCTTGACCGTCTAAAGCCCGAAGCCCAATCGAAGCTTCAACCCTTCAGCCAAAGTTTTTAACACATCTATGTATCCCAACCCCCAAACCCCAAGCCCAAGCCACAATCCACCCCGAGCCCCAAACAGCAAAAACAACTTCCCAGTTCAGAGGCCCCTTTGCTTCGCCGCAGCCGCGGCGGCTGCCGCCGCGAGACGGCTGGAGCAGCCGGCACCGGAACCAGGCTCGGGGCTTTTGGTATCTGAGTTCGCCCGCATGATGACACCCGGTAGATTTGCTTTTGTATAGCTAACCAGGTCACCCTGAAGGTGCTACGGCGGCTACAGCCGCAAAGAAAACGTTTCAGTGTCCGAAGTGCCAGGCCGGCATCGGCGGCAGTGGTTTGTGCCAGGGATACCAGGCCCGTGTCCTCGCTGGTTCTCTTGAAATTCACTTTGAAGCATACTATACTAAGCTACCGGGTTGTTATAGAGTTACTACTTTCGATGCGGGCACGAAAGGGCCCAGAGTCTTGCGAAGCTTCGGCTCGAAGCTTCTTGGCTCGGGCTGGTGCTTCGCTGCTCCTGCTGCTTTTTGCTCCTACTCGTGGGTGCCTTTGTTGTGCAGCTCCGCTTTTTGATCTGCTGTTGCCAAGTCCATGACCCGAAGAAACTCTTGAGCTTCTCCAGCTTGAACCTGCTTTTACCATTTAGGATCCGAGGCCGTGGTGGCGTTCTTTGGTGCGAGACTGCCAAGAAGGCCGCTGCCTGAGTGCTACAAGGGCTTAAACAACAACAATGCTACAGCCATACGACAGTATGCCCTCCAAACCCTGATCTAGTTATTCAGGCACTTGCGTGACTAGACACGGGTTGCAGCTGAGATCCAGTCTCGTTTCACGGTCGACTGCGTATACTGTAGCCGCAGCCGACCTTCTGCAACGCTCTGTTGTTATTTTGCTGCATGAAGACGTGTTACGTTGACCTTGGGAGCTGCAGCCATGCCGCCAAGCCGACTCTGATCAGGTTGCCATTGGCATCGACCTTGGCACGACCTTCTCCTGTGTGGGTGTGTGGAAGGCTTGTCCCAAATCTGAAGCTTGCACAGATGTCGTAGTATGTCGAGAGACGCCGTCGTGGTAGTCCTGTCGTCGGAGTCGGGTTGGTTTTCGTGGGAAGAGTGTTCTTGCCTTTGGACTGAGCTTCTGCTGACATCCTACCCCGCCCGAAGGCCCGACGACTGCTGTTTTTGTTGGCAGGACGGTGGCGTCCAGATTATCGAGAACTCGGAGGGCAAGAGGACCACGCCCTCCTTCGTTGCCTTCACCGAGGCTTTTTGGGCTTCAGGGCTTCACGGCGACCCTTAGAAATGCTTGAGCTCAAAGAGTGCAGCACACCGTGCTCAGTCGGCAATCGTACCCTGGGCCTGAACCAGCTTGCATCCCAATCAGGTCAGAGAGATCTTATTGAAGCCGAAACTTTATCAAGATGCCTGTTGCCCTGATTAAAGCTCTTGCCCTCTTGTTCTGGGTTCGAACTTTCCCACGGAATGGAGACGGTGTGACAAGGCCGACCTTGCCAGTTCACTCGAATGAGAAGCCTTACACCCAAAGCCCTAAACCAAAAGACCCCCCTACACACAAAAAACGCCTACGACTCGCGGGTCGGTCAGGCCGAACGCCTCGTCGGTGATGCCGCCAAGGCGCAGGCTGCGCGGAATCCCGCGAACACGCCGCCCGCCGGAGTTTGAGGAGTTTGGTAAAAACCGAAAACCCGCTCAAGAAACTCAGCAGTGTTTTAAGCTTTTCTTGGGCGTGGTCGTAGAGGGTTCTGCATCGATTCCTTCATGTAAGTAAGAACACCCTAGGCCCTTAGACCCTCATGGTGTTTTCGGCTGGAGAGGCTTGCGGGACGCTGCTCTAGATGGGTGAGGGATTTGGATTTTTTCAGTTACGGCTGCAAAGTGTGAGAGAAGAAGTACTGGGCTGTTGAATTGAGGGTTCCAGGTGGGCCGCAACCATTTTCTCGTCTGAGTTTCAGAGGGTTTCGGGGTTCAGGCCCAATCCCTGCAGTCCATCTTGACCCCCCAACATTCCCCAACGCCAGTGTTCCTGAGTTTGCCCAGGGTCTACGATGCCAAGCGGATCCTTGGCCGAATCGAGCAATGGTGAACGTGGGAATTTAGGGTTGAGTGGCCGCAGGGTCGCACTGCTGTGGGCCTTGATGGTTTGGAGGTGTAGGCAGGATCTGGGGATGTATTGATAGCTTCAGGGCCTTGAAGCTGTGCAACGTCCCTCAGCGCTAAAGTCCGAAGGCTGCACGCGTCGTCATGGGCGGCTGCTAGCATGAATCTCACATCACCGTTCGTCTTCAGACCTGCAGGAGCCGTGTTGTTGAGCGCTTCTGAGCTGTGTACCGTACTCCCGTGCCGCAAGAAGTTGATCCAGGAGCCATCTTTCCACCTTTTAGGCCTAACCCTAAACCCTAAACCCTAAACCCTAAACCCTAAACCCTAAACCCTAAACCCTAAACCCTAAACCCTTGAAGCCCCGGACTCCCTGGACGCTCGCCCCGGCGTCTGCGAGTCGAGGCTTATCGGTCGGAAGTTCCAGGATGCACCGGTGCAAGCGGATATCAAGCACTGGCCTTTCAAGGTGGGAGCTCTGGCATCCGTGCTCCACCTAAACCCTAAACCCTAAACCCTAAACCCTAAACCCTAAACCCTAAACCCTAAACCCAGCACCTTTAGTTAGCTCTAGTTTCTACGAGGCCGGGGAGTTTGGGGCTTGAGGCTTTCGGGTAATGAACGAGACATGTAACAACATCATAACAAGGCTTTCGGAGTCAAGGGCCCCGGTGAAAATTTGTGCTGTGTCTTTGTTTCAGATCTGTGTTAGTATGGATGTTTCTGGTTTGTGTCCTCGACAGGCTCAACTGGGTGGATTTGAGTATTCAGGAACATGGAGATAGTTTCGGTAGTGGCTGAGAGAGCACGAGGAGTCTACCGGATAGAGCTTGAAGCAGAAGAGACTGGTGACTCTGACAAGCTCCTCTTGTCTTTATTTTGTGGCGGAGGCTTATTTTGTATTCTTCTATTTCCTGAAGCACCGAAGCACAAGCCAATCCAATCACAAATTGGAGCAGTCGGCAACGGTCCAAGTCTGTACTAGTTATCGCTGTATCTCGCATCGCTGGGTTGAAATACGCATCGATGAGCGTCCACACTCGGGAAACCGCTTTCAAACAATCACTTCTATTTGTGAACGATCCGATGGTTCCACCTGGCATCGAGCGTCTGGATGGGGGAATGGCTGGTTGCGATGTGCCGTGATGCCACCCCTGTTTCGAACGGGTGCTTGTGGAATCGAGTGTCTTCAGTGGTGATGATGTACTGTGATGCCACGGATGCGTGTCTCGAACGGGTGCTTGTCCATTTCGGAGCTAATCACGTGGCCCTGTGGAAAAAAGGTCCAGCTCATCCAAAGCAGTCTCGGATAGTCTCGGTCACGCTGTGTGGTGCTGGGTACATGCACGCGCACAGACACTCGTACATAGGACACAGAGACACACCTACATGGGCAATGGCTGGTTGGGTGTGCTGTGACGCCACTGATGTGTGTCTTGTGCGTGCGCTTGTGAATCGAACGTCTACATGGGGAGTGGCTGGGATTTGTGTGTTATGAGCCATTGATGTGATTGATATATGTCTCGCGGACGTGCTTGTGAAATCGAGCGTCTACACGGGGAATGGCTAGTTTGGATGTGTTGTGATGACAGTGATGCATGTCTTGTGCGTGCGCTTGTGAGAACAGCGTTTGCATCTGGACTGGCTGGCTTTGACGTCATTGGTGTTGCTCCAAAGATCGGTGCTCGATACGTGGACAGCGGTTGCATCCAAAGGATCAAAACTCGGAATGTGGATCTCGAGTGCTTTTCGATACCCAGGGCATCGATTCATGCGACGAGAAAAGCAGCGCCTACTTGGGGATTCGGTGCCAAAACGTGCTCTAGAATGCCATGAAAAGCACTTTGAGAAACCCCAGGGTCCGCGGCATATCATGAAAATGGAGCTTGCGCGACTGGGAGACGAAAGACAGCGTCTACATTGGGGATTAGCATCTGATGATGTGTATTCTCGCCGCTGACGTGTAATTCCTTGAAATAGCGTCCGCACTCGGGTGATGTGTATTCTCGCCGACTGATGTGAGATAAACTCCATGCTTGTATCTTGCAAATTTTGAATTGGTCGCTATTGAGGCATTTGGAGTTTTTTTTGGATAGGTTGAGGTGTACCTTTATGTATATGCCCTTTGAATAAAGCACGGCCTGGGCGCGGGCAGGTTTTGGATTCCCCGCAGCAGTGTGAAATGCTCCATATCATTCCAACAAACTCCTCAAGACCCTCAAGATTCTCACAGAGATGAAATTTGAAATTGTTTGGACGGATGGTGTCTAGCGCTTCAGACTTTTCCTGCGGTTGGGAAGGTCGTGAAATCCTGAAGAGATGCAATTGAAAAAACCCCACAGCCTCGGTTTGATCAAGTAGCCCTGAACTAACACTTAGACAGATCCATAGCACGCATTTGCCATCCAGGTCGTTCGAGGGAAAGACGACAAGCCGCTGGTCGAGGCAGCAAGTTGCAGAGCCCAAACTTACCCGAAACCCTAAACCCCTAAACCCTAAACCCTAAACTCTAAACCCTAAACCCTAAACCCAAACTTTGTGACTCCAGTCCGAGGCAGGTGAAGGCACACACTCGTAGCGGTTCTTTGTTTGGGGCATTCGGCATGGCATCCCGTTGCCAAGATGCCCCTGGGTTCCACACGGCCGCCCATGCTTCGACGAAACCGTCGGAGAGGGTTTCAAAGAGGTGTTGCTGGATGCCTGGATTCCTGTAACCTCGTAAGCATTTCAGATTTCAACAATGCTCCACTCGAACTGGCGAGCGGCCACCTGGTTCTTTTGGGGACCGGTTGTTTCTCTACTTCTGGGTTCGTCGGCTTGTCGCGGCATTGGCTTCTGCAGTCCGAGTCGAAGCCAACAAAATATGCCTTGAAGGAACTGCGGATGCACTTGCCGGGGATGGCGTTTCTCAGAGTGGCTTTCGGACAGATCTACAGCTACACCCTGGAACCGTGGCTTGAGAAGCCACACCAGGTCTGGATGATGATGACGATGACGACGATGATGATGATCTTTTGCCTTGTCATGGCCGGTGTCATGGTCGTGGCCTGAATTTTTGCTTGGGCTACGCATCCAGTGCAGGTGCAGTTCCAGAGCAAGACCAAGCAGTTCCATCCGGAGGAGATCTCAGCACGGCAGCCAAGAATTTCACTGAAGCCCTCATTGCAACCGCTTGCCCTTGACGCTAGACCCGTCACAGTGGATGCCACATTTAGCAGGATCTTTATTCTTGGTGTTCCTTGGTTCAGTTATAAGTTATAAGACTACGAAAAACCCCTTAGCACGCAGTATGCCGAGCCATTTCTTCCGAACGAGAAGGTGCCCGGAATTTTCCGGAGTGTATTTCAGGCCATCGTCCTCCAAAAGATGAAGGAGACAGCCGAGGCTGTGGCAGTGGGAAAACGAGCTCGGGCAAGTTGCCACGTCCGGTGCATGTGGCAAGGAAGTGAGGTGTTGTCAGTCATCCTCTCCTTCCCTGTTCGGCAGGCCTACTTGGGCCATCCTGTCACCGACGCCGTTGTCACAGTCCTCTCGCCGGCATTTGATGAGCATGGGTGCATGGGGGGGTTGTCCTGGGCGTAGCCTACGAAGGGTTTCTTGCCCCAAGCGGGTCTATTTTAGGGTTCGCTGCTTGCTGAATCTCCCGTGTAGTCCACATGTCTCTGCGCGGCAACAGCAAGACTCGTCAAGAAAAAACAAGTCTTCGTCAGCGAAAAAGCACAATCCTGTTCAGTACCTTGACCGAGGTGCCAGCGTACTTCAACGATTCCCAGAGGCTTTGTGAATTTCAGGATGGGGAGAGAAAGTCCTTGCAGGAGTCGTTGGGAAGTGGGCACCATCCCTTGATTTTCTTCCGTCTGACATTCAGGAGACAGAAGACTTACCTACCTGTTGCCCAGGCTTTCGGGTTCAAAATAGTTCAAGGCCGCTGCATGAGACCCCAGTGGAGTCCATTTTTCTGGAGGCTGGAAGCTGAGACAACTCTGTCAACTCTCCCTCGGTTTGTGGCGAGAGGCAAGCGACGAAGGATGCTGGGGCCATTTGCGGCCTCAATGTGCTGAGGCTGTCAGCTGCTTTTGCAGCGCTTCGGGTTTCGGTCTTTGGCGCAGATTCAGGCTTGGGTTTACTGTTTGGATCCATTGAGTGAGCAGGGCTCCGCCGTCATGTCAAGATGTTCAGAGGTTTTCCAGCAGAGGTTGGCATCTACTAAGGACCCCCAGCCTGAGCCGCAAACCCTCAGAAGACTGCGCTATGTCGTCGAACTCCGCCGGCCTAAATCCTGGAACTTGAGTCCTGGAAGCACAGGATAATCAACGAGCCCACGGCGGCAGCATTAGCCTACGGCCACGAGCTTAGCTTTAAGTGGATCGTGGTGGCACTGGGAAGGTTTCGAATTGCATCTGGCCTTGATTGGATGGTAGTCAGTCAGATGAGGCTCGTCACAAGAAGATGTAGTTTCGGTTGTCGCCATTGTTGTTGATGGCAGCGGCAGCAGGCTAGGCCTAGGAGCCGTAGTAGCAGCATCAGCACCAGCTGCAGAAGTAGCAGCAGCAGCAGTGCAGTACTACTAGGAGTATATTCTAGCGGTGTACTAGCAGTTATTCGTCGCCGTCGTAGTAGCAGGCCTAGTACTACTGCTACTACTACCACTACTACTGCTACTGCTGCTGCTGCTGCTGCTGCTGCTACAGTACTGCTACTCCTACTGCTGCTGCCTCTGCCTTTGCTGCTGCTACTGCCACTACTGCTGCTGCTAGTGCTACCGCTGCTGCTGCTGCTACTGCTACTACGATGTATCAGTCGCCGTCGCTGTTGCCGTCGCTGCTGTCGTTTCTACGGCTCCAGCGCGCCCTCCAGGTGTTGTGCGTGTTGAAGCACCTACTGCATGTTCCTTGATAATCACGGACGCAGCGACGACACGTACCTCGACACCTGCGACAAGATCCAACGGTTAAGTCTCGCAATGCCGGCAATACAATCATTGCGAGAAGCTGTCAGCAGCCTCGATTTCTCGCGGGTACTGCCGTTATCATCAGCATCAGTAGCAGGTTCTCCACCAGCGCGCCAGTGCTGTCAAAAAATAATTCCTCGTTCCTGTCACTCATGATTGGAAGTATTGTCAGTAGTGTCTCATGCCTGCTCGCTCGTGTGTGTCTTGTGGTGGAACGTGCAGAATTTGACATGATCCTTGCCGGTGTGTGGTTTGTTTGAGTGCTAATTGTCATGATGCTCGCTGCAGTGTTTTCTTTTCTGGAACGTGCGCAAGCTGATGCTCGTGCTCGCCGGTGTGTCGCTTGCAGTGGAAGATGCGGCAACTGATGCTCATGATGCTCCTGGTGTGTCACTTGTGGCAGGAGGAGTTGTGGCAGCTGATGCTTATGATGCTCGCTGCAGGGCGTCTGCTGGAAGGTGCGGCAGCTGATGCTCATGATGTTCGCGGGTGTGTCGCTGGTGGGAGATGCGCGGGTTGGTGCTGGTGATGCGGGCCTGTGCTGGAACATGCGCAAGCTGATGATCATGATGCTCGTTGGTGAGTCGCTGGTGGTGGGAGGTGCTGCAGCTGATGCCTCTCCCTGTTGGTTGTGGTGGACTCATTGAGCAGAAGGTGCACCAAGGTTTCATTACCCCTGCTACTACTGTTGATGGACAAAATCCTGCATGACCTTATATACCTAAACTATGGGATTATGGTACTATACTATATTTGGGTCATGCAGGATTTTGTCCATCAACAGTATGGATCAAGTTCCGTAGGTGTCTTCATGGTAGGCTTCTTCTCGACTTGTGTCACTACTGTCAGCTAATCAGTGTTGAGCCGTGATGATGCTGGTTCCCAAGTTTACAATCACAATACCGGCTAGGGATAACAAGACATTGCCGCACGGGGTGGGGCTTCCAAGCCAGGCCCCAGCTGGAGCTGGATTTAGCCGGTGGCCCCCGGGTCCTTTTTGGGGTGTTGGTGTTTCAGACCGCTCCAAGATGGTGAAACGATGCTCATCTTGCCTGTCGGCTGCGATATGGGCCCCGATGATGCTCATGATCGCTTGCTGGCTTGGGATGGGACTCCAAGCATGATTTCGTTGCCTGCTTCATTCTGTCCTCAAGCCCTTCTGCTTGAGCACCTTGCTGCCTTGTATATTCATTGATTGACGGGGGCATTTGTATTGAAACCCTCCTTCGCCGATGGTTTTGGCTCCAAGCCCGCAGAACAAGGGTGACTGTGCAGCATGGATGTTTTGCCTGATGTGCCTGCACAGGCTCTGAGGTATATCGTCATTTGCAGCTTCAAACTCAAAACTCGCAGTTCGCCAGCTGCAGGGAAGACTAGTGTAACTTTCGCACGTTGTTGTGAAGCTTCAACTTCGGAGCTGGCAAACGTCCGTCCCCACGCCACACTCTGAGCATTGCCGCTGCGACGGGATCTCGGTGTGCGATGATGTTCCAAGACTTTGCGCGACTAGATCGTTCTTGCAGTGTCTTCTCTGCCGAACGGTAAATAATCTGCGGCTCTCCAGGACGAAAGACGAAATCCTCAGAAATCGTGCCAGTCTCAGTGAACCTTGTAACCGAGCCCACACCTTGTCGGCTTTCACCTGTCTGTGCTCACGACAAAGTGGATTGGGTCTTTCTGCATCTGCTGCCTTGGTGCACGGGCTGTGGTGCGTCGACATTATCCGGCTGGGAGAAGTTGTTCGGGTTCGTCGACCTGCAGCATCTCTCCTGCGAGCTACCGAACCACATAATGAGCAATTCTGCTCTCGTTTTCCATCCACCTTGACCATCGAACTTCCAGCTTCATTCCATCGTCTGCTCAGGCTACGAAAAACTCCAAGCAACCACTGCTGCAGTGCGTGCGAAACGCACGCGACAGGAAATGGAGGACTACCGCCGAATGGCCTTTGCAAGCCAACATGACTTGCCATTGCCGGGTCCGAGACGATCCAGAACCGAGGCCGATCCGTGCGACGAATCTACGTGCCAAACAACTTTTCTGGACTTCCTGGAAGCTCTAGTCGTCCGCTGGAAATGGGTCTGGGTGCCGCGAGCTTGCGCTGTGAGAGCGGGAGCAAAAACACTGCTTGAAACTTGAAAGCGATGGGTTCCGTAACAGGCGAATCTGTCAGTGGACCGTCGTTGCTGTTGCGGCAAGCAACCACACGGTAGCAACTTCTGTTTGAAATTAATTGCAAGGAGCGTGTCAGCCGTGCAACATTTGCAACCTCTGTCGACATGTAGGGGCACCACATTGCCACTATCATCACGCATCCGGCTAGGCGGTGCAGCGAGCACCGGGGCGAGTGAACTCAACTGCTTTGCCGGCGCTGACCGCGAGCCCGAAGGACCTCGTCGTGCTCAATGCCGTGGCGTCTGTTGTTATGACCTGCAGCGTGCCTGCTGCGCCAAGACCACCCGTGGGTGGACCAAGGTACTCCACCAACAGTCAGCAACAGAACAAACAAACTCACACTAGCCCTGCCCACGTCCCTTGCAAAACGAATTTTTTCGCAAACCTACGTCATGCTTAGTCTCAAAAGAACTGGCCGATGCCCTTTTAACATGCAAGCTCCCTCCCGAAATCCTGTGTCAGGTCTTCCGCTTCTTGCACAGTACACAGCAGACCACCCCAGTCGTTTCAGCTTTAGAAGATCTGCCAGCTCCCGGGTTGCCGCAGCTATGTGCCTCGCGTCAAAACCATACACCCGGCACCCTGCACCCCAGACCTTGCGCTCGACCATCAAGCGCTGTGTCCGCTGACAGGTCTTACAAAAGCCATGAAATAAGGTCCAATGCCATCAGGAGAAAACGAGCGGCCGTTGTGCTGAACCTGTACGTTTGCAAGTCTGTTCTGTTGTTCTGCCTAGCTTTCGTCCCAGTCCCTCCTCCCCAAATATGCAGATGTAGAAACAAACACACACACACACAGACACACCCACCCACCCTTTTCAGCAGTTGATTCCGCCGGAGTACCCAGAAGATCCATGGCACGTTTGGCGGTCTGTTGCGAAGTGCTTTCATTTACGCGTAAAGTGATGTAACAATAGACAATAACGATAAATTGTCAAATACGGATCGTCCAAGGCTTAGATTCCAGAGAGCGGAGTGCTCGCAATGCCCGGAGCTTGGTTCCAGGTTGTGAGGCGTGGGATCTAGCTATGGGTAAGGCTTACTTCCGATCCGTAAGCCCAAGACCCCCAACCCTCCGACCGGGTGGCGGTTGCTTTCATTTTGGGATTCTCAGTACTTTGTGGCTTAGCCTTGCGGCCTTCAGTGCTTCAAAGTTGATGGAAATGTAGACCCAGAATGTGTGTTCAGGAGCAGAGGGCTGTCCAATCCATGTGGTTCTTGGGGTTCAGGTGTAGAGTTTTGGGGTCTAAGTCAGGATTGCAGAGGAAGTGATTGCATGATGACGAGCTTTGTCGAAGTCAGTTGCCAGGCAGCCTTGGCACTTCAAGAATGTGTGTTGGCTTCGTAAAGCTGTCACCCGAACAGTTGGGCTGCGGTTGGATATCAGCAGTTGCCAAGACAGTCTATTGCAAACAAACCCATTCCTCTGAGCTTGAACCCTTCCTTTGCGGCCCTAGCTCTGCCCCGAACCCAAACCTGAACCCAAAGTCCCAACACCCACCATGGTGAGGTTCTGGTGTACGACATGGGAGGTGGAACGTTTGATGTTTCACTTCTCGAAATCGAGGTGCAGCTGGGTGCATTGGTTGATTTCGATGTTTCCCAAACTCAGCGCCCCAAACCCTCAACCACCCTGGCTCCTCCCCATCTCAATATCCTCAGGAACTTCGTCTTGCATTCGGAATGATGTACAGTAGGGGCCTAGCGTTTATAGGGTTGATAAGGCTTGAGAACATCTCCAAAAGGTTTAGGAAGCTCTTCCTGAAGTTGTAGGTTGTCTCACAAAGCGCTCTTGTTGCTAAGCTTAAGTCATAGGAAGTGTTGTGAGATTCCACACTTGACGACCGCCCCCAAACCTTCCGCCCTAAGTTGAGGCCCGAAGAATTCGCGGTTTAGGGTTTAGGGTTTAGGGCCTTGTCTGCTCGTCTCTGTATTAGCACTATCCTGTCAGGGCTCCTTAACCCAATCTTCTCATTTGTGTCTTCAGATGTCTTGAGCAAGACGTCGACGTCTCGTCAAGCCCCTCATGCCCCTGACAGATCTCCGAGCCCCTGCAAATCACTGCTGTAAGGGCTTTGAGGGGTTTTGCATTTGTTGGGGTTTTCTGGCCTGGTGTTTGAGCTGGGCTTAGGGTTTTGGTGTTTGCGTGTCGGGTAGGAGAGGAAGCTGTTTAAGGCAAGTCTAAATCTCGATGCTCCCGAAGGACGGCGTCTTTGAGGTCAAGGCCACTGCTGGGGACACCCACCTCGGTGGCGAGGACACTGTAACGCTGCTGGTGGATGGCTTTGTGCGTAGTAACATGTAGTAACTGGTCTATAGGCTGACTGCGCATGGGGGCTGTGCTCACCAGAAAGGACTTCAGCAATCGCCTTCTGGAGCACTGCATCAAGGAGAGGCCCTGCAACGAGCTCCCGACACCGGCCTTTGCCCGTGGCTTTGTGTAGCTTGCTTTACTCGTAGCTTCTCTATTTTCTTCAGGATTCCTTGCAGCAGCCTAGGGTCGCGAAATCCCAGTGAAGACTAGAAAACCCCTACAGCAACCCGGGGCTGCGGCTGGAGCTGCCTAGCTAAGCCTCAAGACTCAAGACTAAAACCCTTATCCCGAAAAGCCCCTTAATAATACTAATAATCACAGTAATAATAAAGCATTTCTAGTCCCCTATACCCGAAGCCTCAAACGAAAGATCGATATCCCGGTGCTGCTGGGGCGAGAGTGGTCAACCAATCGCCAGAGGAGTTCGAAAAGAAGAACCGCGGAAAGGCCCTGGCAGAGTTGTGCGTTGTAGGGTTTCAGGTGGTGAGCCGCAAGGGGGATGCACTACATGTCGTGCTTCCGGGAGAACTTGTGTCACGGCCGGCAAAAGCATCAAGTACCTCGTTGGCAATACAAGACATACAAAAACATACACGCACAGACACGCAATAGACAATTGATCACCGTTGTCACTGGCTAAAAAGTGCAAGTGCTGCGGCAAATCCTGCTTGTTCGCGCATTGCAAGGTTCAGACTTAGGCCTGCAGAAGCAAAAAACAGATCTCATTGTGAAAGGAGGTCCGCAAGAATCAACGGGCCCTTCGGCGACTTCAAGCCGAGTGTGATGCAGCCGGGGCGCTTGGACAGGGACATGCTCGCAGTATGTCGCAGTTGGGACTGATGCAGCGTAAGGATGAAAGAGGGTCAAGAAGCACAAGCATGTTGAGGATCAGAGTTCTTATCCCCGTGCCATCGCCGGCCCGCCTGTAGTGATCGAGCCATGGAATACTTGTTGGAATGCTTAGTGGAATATCGCGACAACCTCGAGGATTGCCTTGATGGCCTTGAAAATTGGCTTGGCTGGACAAGCGTGACAGGCGGGGATGCGGGATTTCAGACACGAGCGGGATATCTTGATTGGTACCGTAGCCTGGGGGGCTTGGAGACTCGCCACTCCCGGACGAAGAAGCTCTACGAGGCTCTGCAAGTACCTTGAGAGCACAGCCACGGTTGCGTTTTTCTGTCTCTTGCCTCTGTGGAGCGCAGGCCCTACTGTCAGAGTCACGAAAAAACATCGAAGTTGTTGCAGCTTAGGACCAACGGCGACACAGAGTCAGTGCGCGGGAAGCCGAGGCAAGTGATGTGTGAAAACCATGTCGGGTGTTTTGTAGGTTCTCCAAGTTTGGTTTGATCAGGACAACGTGTTAAGAACTTCGTCCGTACATGCGCGGGTCAAACTTTGGCCAGTCGGTGCTTCAACTTGACTGCTCCCCTGCAGGAGCAGGACAATGCTCAAACTCAATACTCACAGGTGTTGGCCCGTTCGGCAAGTGCATCCACAGTATCCACAATATCAAATCTGACAGATTGTTCGAGTGACGAAGAGATTGATTGGGAAGATTCCCGGCCTTTGAAGCAACGTCCGGGAGTGCATTCGCAGATTGTAGAACCGAGCAGCGAAGCAGGCAAAGAAGCAAGGCGCCTCATGCTGTGCCGCCTTGGAGGCGGCACTGGCTGGGAAGATGTTCCACTACAAGACCTCCAACCCGTGTGTGAGTTCACATTCCTTGCCTACCAGATGGTCACCGTTGTGGATTCAAGGAACTTCGCTACCCTGGTGGGCGGAGCAGAGTGCACAAGACGGGCAGGAGGAGCCGTCTTCTATGTTGACGGCTGTGGCTCTCTTGAAGGATCTGGAGGTGGTGCCAGCCTAGTGCACAGCATGTTTCAGTTCGCGCGGCAAGTTCAAACCAGATGCATCCTGCTCAAAGCAAAGGCTGGTTCAGAAGGCTTCTGGTTTCGATCAGGCCTGCGTCCGCTGCATGCAGCTTGGAGGACGACAAGGCGGGCGGCCGGTAGCGATGAGCGACGGCGCGCAGAAGAAGCTTTGTTGCAGGACAGGGTTGAAATGTAACATACGCGTGCATATGTGTTCTTGAGCTTGCTTTCACCATCGCCAGATGTCGCAGGAGATGGGGGTGCCCCCTAATGCAGTGGACGTGGCTCTGGTGCTGGCAACTGTCTTGGACGACGCGTGTGCTGGCGCCACGGCTTTCTTTGGCTGGCTTCCTTGAACGTTTCGCCGATGCTCGCACCTTGCCATCTGTCCGGCTGGAAAGCCTTTCAAAGATGGCTGTAAACTCATTTATGCCTACCATTTTAGTTTTTAAGCCGCGGTGAAAAGATCCCATGCGGGACCTGCGCCAAGCCCGATCTGGCCCCCGTGCAGGTTTCCCGGAAAGGATGACTTGGGCCAGAGGAGGTAAAAATTCGGGGTGTTGCCAAGGACAGAGATGACCGAAAATCGCATCTCTAGAAAACGTGGTCTCCTGATGGAGGTAGCGCTCTTATGGAGAATAAGAAATGGTCTGTGCTGGTTTGTGCGAATCACACAAATTCAGCAGGGTTGTCCTTGCAACCGAGCCATTCCGTTTTGAGCACCGCATAATCTTTTGCATCTAATGTTTCTTCCTAGAGCAGGTAGTAGCATTTCCATACCTTACCCATACATGTTTTTGTGCTTCCGGTCTGTCAAGCGCGGTGTTCGTTCGCTGCCAGATTGCGGCTTTTGTCAGCTGCTTGATCAAAATCGTGAGCAAGAAAGCCCGGGCTCTCGCTCAAAGCATGAGGGCAGGGGCTTGGCCAAAGTGCCACAGCAACACTTTTCGTTTCACCCGCCTCGGCCATTTGCCGACGATGCCATCCAGCGCATTGCTGGAGCCAATTCACGATGCACAACCGTCACCTTGAAAAGTTCGGCAAAACATGAAGCAGCAGGCTACCGGACTAAGACAGGTATTCACCGGAGCTTTTCGGAGTTTTCAGATCGTGGACGGTATTGGGCTTTTGCTGTAGAATTCGGGTTTCGGGGGGCTTGAGGTTTGAGCATGTAGATCTTTGGCGTTTTTTCAGGCTTGCATGGCATGGCTTGTAGGTCAACCGCTCAAAATCGAGGGTGGAAGCGAAGGGTTTTCGTCCGCAGCAGCAGCTAGCACAATCGGCTGTTACCAGGCCCAGCCAAGCTCCTCTCGTCTCCAGCCCCCAACAACCAGCTCTGTTCTGAACCCTTAAGCCCTTGAGCTTTTGGCCGCAGCGACCTTCCCTACACTTGCTGAGCCCTGAGCCTCAAAAGGCTTCAAAGCTCTTCCGAAGACCACAGAAAGAAAGCGGCCACTTCCGTTGTCCGAATTGGAGCCAAAGGGAGCCGCCCAGGCCAAGAGGACGCTCTCCTCATCCACACAGGCATCCATCGAGGCTCCAGTGGGCCTCCGCTGTGATGTTTTTTCTTCTGGGTTCCTGGACGGTGCCGCCACACTGCAACTCCCACGTGAGCCGTTGGCTTTGGGACCACCGGCGAAATCATGTGCAGTCCTTGCTGACACCTAACCTCCTGCCTCAGGTTGTTGGGGGAAACTCGACGCAACCACTTCTGCCTAAAAACCCTTCGAAGCTTTTTCCCGCACTCCTTCGCGGAGGTGGATTCCCTCTTGGACGGGCTAGACTTCTCCCTGGCAGTGAGCCGGGCGAAGTTCGAGGAAACTCCTTTGGATGTCGCAGTTTCGGTGGTCGAGGTTGTTGCATGTTGGGCTCCGGACATCCGTTGATCGCCATGAGAAGTCCCGACATTGATCGGGATTGCCCACCCTCCTCTGCAGGTTACCTTGATCAAGTCATGTTGTTTTTTTTCATTGGGGTCTCGATGAGTGTGTGCCGGGCCGGGCCTAGGAATGTTGTACAATGTGTGTTTGGGTCTCCTGTTGGGGGATACTAACAAAACAAACCCGACTTCGTATCCCGGAAGGAGCTGAACCAAGACCTGTTCAAGCGATCGATGGATTCGGTGGAGAAGGTGAGGAGCAAACTCGCTCTGGGGTTGGGCTTCGGTGCATAAAGTGCTTTCCGCGATGCTCGGAAGCTTTCGTAAAGGAAACCCCTATAGAACCGATAAGCTGGTTTAGTATACTCTAGTCTAGTACAATATAGTATAGTTTTCTTCTGGTATAGTCTGGTCGAGGCTTACTACACTTAACTCTACTGTACTATACTACACTACACCATACTATACCATACCACACCATACTATACTGTGTGATCGTACAGTAGTGTACACTGCATTACAGTGCTGCGCCCCTGCAAGCGACGAGGTGATCAGCGATGCGAAAGTCGATCGGAAAGCGATTGACGAGGCGAAGCTTCCGGCCCCAGCGCCTGTACAATATACCATAATGTGCTTTAAATAAATAGTGCACTATAGAAGCGGAAAAATACATTAGGAGATGCTAGAAAATACTAGAAGATGTTAGAGCATACTGTAATATATATATTATATACTATTGTTGGGCTGTTAAATCTTGGCTAAGAATTTTGGCTAGAACTGGACTGTAATGTAGTCATTGGGACAGGGAGCTCCGAGTCTAGCCGCCAAGCTTGCAGCAACATCCTCGAATCATGGTGCAGGTAGTGCTGATCGGGGGCTCCACCAGGATACCGTACGTCCAGAAGCTGATCGAGGACTCCAATACTTGTGCTTCTCCTCATCTCTGCTTCTTCGAGTTTCTAGAGTCCCCCGAGCATCAAATCTACACATCGGGTGTTTACCTGGAGGACTACTTCAGGAAAGAGCCGTGCCGTTCGATCAACGCGGACGAGGCGCAGTTCCTGGGAATCGGTCTCTTCATGGTCTGGCTGGCTCAGGGTTCACAGTCTTGGGCTTAGGGTCAGGGTCTGGGGTTTGGAGTCATGCTGATGTGGTGGCCTCGAGCTTAGCATGTTGCACATGTGTCTTCTATGTTTGCGAATTGAAGGACAACGTTTGGGTGAAGTTGGCAAAATGGAAACCATCGGGGGCCTCTATTTCATGGTGGGAGGAAACTGAGCAGTGGTTACGACACTTCCGTCTGACGGCAGACCGGAAAGCCATGGTTGTACCACTATCCCCAACCCTTGCTCAGATAGGTTTGCGGTGGACAGCAAGTGGTTTCCAGGAAAAGGCAAGCCAGAATACACAGCTCCGCTTCCGGAGTTGAAGTTTGGACTGAGAGTTTCAGCTCTCTTGTTCTCACTCTTGTCAAAGGCGGTCGCGTACGGTGCTGCCGTGCAAGCAGCGGTTCTGAGCGGCGTCAAGGCGGAACCATGTCACGGGCTTTGCCTACGGGTTTCGGATTTCGGGCGCTTGAGAACATGCGATTTTCGGGACATGATGGCCTACCGGTCACACTGTTTTGAACTCCAGCTTGGCCTTGGCGCATGAATCCAGGAATGCAGATGTGAAGCTGCAGCCTTTCACCCGATGTTGATGGAGTAGGGCCTGTTGCAGCTCTGCGGGCTTGTTTTCTCCACTGGCCAGGGGAAAGATTCCCCGCTGAAAGACCTCGTGCTTTTGGATGTGACGCCTCTTTCCTTGGGCCTCGACGCCTGGCCTGACAAAGCGAACATGTTTTTCCCTCATTAACCCCCGCCTCTCCCCCCGTAAGGGCGATTTGTGTGTGGATCAACCGAGTATTGCGTGAGCTTCTAAGCAGGGTGCTTTGGAGCGGTGTAATTCTGAATTCGTCGATGTGATCCCGAGCTCATTGGGCTGCACAAAACCCGAAATCTGTGAGGGATGGGGCAAGTAGTCGCCCTTGAAGTCCATGTTCGTAGCCGTGGGCTCGTCGTGAGCCTCGCTGACCCCTGAGCCCAGCCCACGGCGAGCCCTTGCAAAGAGCAAAGGAAACTGCGGGCGGAGTGATGACAAGGCTCCGGTCTTTCGTCGAGGGTTCCAACCTTCTGTTTGCTGCTTCCGAATGCTTAAGTTGAATATTTGCAAGACTTTTATTGGCAGAGGCCTAATCAGTCCAATCAGTCCAACAAATGGGGAGCACTTCGAAGGTCCTAGGGATTTTCAACTTGAGGTTTCGAGCTGGCGCAACTTCAACTTACCATTTGGATCTTGAGAATCCCGAGGCCCCCCCACACAGGCAGCAGTTGATCCACTTGTCCGTCTTCTCCAAGTGAAACTTTCTGCCAAAACCGCGATGCTCGTGCTGAAGCCTGGGGCTCCCTTGCTGCGCTGTTTTGCGTAAAGTCTTAGAGACCCCAGGCTTCGAAAGGATAGGATTTTGGTTTGAGTGGCTTTGGTTGTGATGGAAAAACCAGGGAAAACGCCCCCCGAAGCCGGCTCTGGGCTTGGAGGTTCCCCTACAGCTCGGAAGACTTGGCCTGCCAGGCTCATTGAGAGGAACTCCACCATACCCACCAACAAGAAGCAGGCGCGGCCGGCGTTTTCGGGTTCGAGGTTCCACGGCCGGATGGGTTACTTTAGGCCTTTTTCCGCTGTCGCTGTTTGTAGCCGCCTGACGAAGCTTCAGACCGCAGGGCACGCTGAAACCTGCAGATTCCCGGCACGGCCAAATCCCGAGGGGATGCGGATCCCAGGGATCCCACGGCAAATTCCAACATGAAGATCACCCGCTGATCTTCCCACATCTTGCAGCCCAAAAGCTCATAAAAAGAGCACATCGCCCAAATCCAACAAGCTCTCGTGTGACCACAAAGCATCCGACCTTTACGCCTGAACCAGCCCTCGGGCCATAGAGGGGCGTGCGAGCCGTTTTGGTCGGCCTCCTAGAATATCTCGACCCTCGATGCCTCTGACCTAGAAAGGTGTAGTTCATGCGAGACGGAAGATGCTGAAGAGGCTGGGGAACTTTGACACTGTGTGCCTGTCTTGCAGGTCTTTTCAACCTACTCCGACAACCAGACTGCCGTGACCATCCAGGTGCTTCCGGAAACACTCTTCCTGGCCCTTGCGCTCCAGCCGTCACGTGAGGGTGGGCTGGCCGGAGTGGTTCCGTGCAAGTCCCTTTGCGTTGTTTTTTGGAAGTGACTTTAGCGATTCAGTATCCATGAGCAGCTCAAGGTCGCAGCAAAGAGCCGCGGTCACCAAGTTACAGACGTTACAACACAGCAAAGCACAGACTCGAACTGTCGACGCAGGTCTATGAAGGCGAGCGCTCCATGACAAGGCTCTGCGTAGAGTTTGCAAGACTTTGGATGATTTGCGGATCCGAAGTACTGGTAGTAAGTAGGCATCCCATGCCACGAACATTTGCGAAGCTAACGCAGACCTGAATGGGAACTGATCCAAGCCTGTTCGTCCCAAGCTTGGAGAAAAAGGCAACTGTCCTAAACCTTTGAACCGGCAACCCTCAACCCCCGAAGCCCGTCGCGAATCCCCTAACCATGTAAGCTCAGGGACAACCGGCTGCTCGGCTCCTTCAACCTGGACAGCATCCCTCCGGCACCCCGTGGCGCCCCGCGGCTGGGAGAAGTTTGGGTTAGACCGGGTTTTTTCGGGTCTTTGTATAACGGTGGTGGTGATGGTGGCGGAAGTTTTGGTGAACTGCAACTGACATGAGCATGAGCATGAGAATGCAGATGGGCGTGAAGAACATCAGCCCCGCGAAATGGTCTTACAGCCTGTCGCTCCGATTCTGCCAACTGCCCTTGGATACCACTTGCCACGACACACTGCTTCAACATGACCGCACCGTGAACCCTAATTAACCGTGCTCACTAAGAACATCAGGCGCAAAGCAAGCGTGCGGTGATTGAGCCCTAAACTTCGAATAACCCTAAGCCCCTAAACCCTCAAATCAAAGCTAACATCAAAAGTTTGACACATCCTGATCCTCATTACCATCACCGACACCATCATCATCATCTTCTTCTTCAGCCGTATGAGCATCACCCTCACTATCACCATCGCTGTCGTCATCATCTGCATCACCACCACCATGATCGGATGTCGAAGCAGTAGCAGAGTAGCAGCACCGATAACAGCAACCCTCTGACATCGTGGCTGCCCCATATGAAGATGGAAAGTGCTCTGAGGTTCCTCAGATCGAGGTCGCCTTTGACTTGGACTCCAATGGAGCTCGCCCGCCGCAGCTTTGCTGGGGTTCTGTGGGAGACTCTGGTGGCTTGGGGCTCACCATGCGCCGACCCAAGAGACATGAACAGAAAGACTTATTATACGCACGCAAGCTGTGCTCAGTTTCATGTGTGCTTTGTGTTCGTAAGCGGCAATATGTAGGTGTAGAGTATCATGCAGCGAAGAGAGGAACCGCGAGTTTGGGAATCGTTGTGCTTGCCGCCAGATCCTCAACGTGTCGGCAGCAGACAAGACCACTGGAAAGCACGTGCCTCAGTCCCGTAATCTTGCGGGACTCAAAAGCTTCGGAATGCTTCGACTGGGCGGTTAAGCGCCGGCTCCTTCCTGCTCTTCACACCCCCATGCCCATGGTGAAACTTCGCATCTGCCACCCCACTACAAAAGCCACGACTTGCATGCAGGTCGAACAAGATCACCATCACGAATGAGAAAGGACGCCTCTCCAAAGACGAGCTTCTCGTCGGCAGTAATCTTCCACGGTTTGGAGCTGTGCTTTCAGAAAATCTCGGATTCCTAGGCCCTCGTGCCTCGTGTTGTTGACAACGGCCCGTTCTTCTGTCAGGGTCATGAGTTGGGAACGACTCAGGGTCCCCAGTGGTTCGGGGCAATGGTGCAGCATGCCTCTGATGGAAGGGGTTGTGTCGGTGTCTCACGGAGGGCGGCAGGAAACACCACAAAGGGTTCGTGGGTTGCGGTTCAGCCGCGGCTCATTGCGGCCGCTGCTTCGCATCTCTTGCAGCAGTATGACCTAGACACGGTAGCTGTCAGGATCGAGCGCATGGTGAAGGCGCGTTGCCCGACCAGAACTGCAAGGGCGCAGGTTTCGGGTCTGGCTAGAAAGTTTCGTCTTCGCACGGAAGTCCTCCCAACAGCACCCAGGAATACCCAGTAAACAGTTGCCATGTGCCCCTTTTGTCGGACTTATTGGGGCTCGGCCTGGTGCACAGAGTCGCTGAGGCCCCAGCAACAAATAGCAATTCAACCCGGCGGAAGGTCAAAAATGCCCCTTCGAAGCCCTCGCACGACACGACTTCCCTGAAGAGGAAGCCGAGAAGTACCGAAGCGAGGACGAAGCCATTCGGAAGTCCGTGGAGGCCAGGCCCGGGGAGCCGACGGTCTCTTTTGGAGGCTTCAGGCTCAGTGTATTTTCGGCTCTTGGGGGCAAAGGGGGTCTGCTCCTAACTTTCCTGGCTGAAGCCGCAACTCGAGCCATCGGAAGTGGGCGGGGGCACTTGCAGACTGAACGCATTCCACCAAAGGGTCTGCAAACTCGAGCTCGCAAAACTCAACACACGGCGTCCCCAAACCCTAAAGCCCATGCGCGCTTCGAGATTCTCGTGGTGCATCCCGTAAGATAGAACACGAACAGCCTTGAGATGTACGATTAAAGTTTTCGTGGTACATCCCGCAAGTCAGGTCACGAAGAAGTATCTGAGATCTGAGACGCATGCTTCAAGATAGAACGCTAGCTAGCAACTTTGAGACGTTCGCTTTGAGCTTTTCGTGGTGCGTTCCACAAGTGAGGACGCGAACGCCTTTCTGATGCATGCGGGAAACTCCGAAAGCCTAGGCCTGCACCCCAATTCCTGCAGCCCAAAAAATTAGATAAATAGCCTTAAAGGACATAGGGCGGAGCGATGCAGGCCCGCAACGAGCTGGAGAAATACGCCTATTCCGTCTCAGGCTTGCTGATATCGTCCGTGGGATTGCCTCTGCGGATAGCTTGTGCCTGTAGTTTGTGACTTCGAGTGGCAGGATTGGAGATGCAGGGTGTGCCCGAAAATCCCCTAGGCAGCCCGAAGCAATCCGTCGCTCCAGGGCGGTTTCGAATCTTTAGGCGACGTCAGCATCCTTCCGCAGCATGGGGCTAGGATCCCTCGATCGGGATGACCTGAAAGACAAGTTCACGGAGGAAGATCGGACGAAGGCGAGACGACAACAGATTGAGATGCTTGGGGCTGGAGTCTTCAACCAGGGCAGGAACCTGATTAAGGGCGCCTGCTCCGTATGATAGATCTTATGGCTTGGAGTCGGGGTTTCTTAGTCAAGTTCCGAGAAATTCATGCTTTGCAGTAAAGGGCACCATCAATGCCCCCCAAGTTCCAAACCTCAAGCCCAGAGTGCGAAGTCCCAAACCAAAGCGTGCCACGAAGCGTGGTCACCCCCTTAGTGTGCAGAAACCCAGCTCGAAAAAGTATCCCTTACAGGGAAGTCTCGATGTGCATTGAGGAGTTCGGACTGAACCTGAGCCTCAGGATTGGGCTTGAAGGGAGTGGCTTCAGTTCTTCAGAAGCTTTGAAGCAAGGCACAGCAGAGAACGGAGACCTCCAGCCCATTTCCTGGGTCGAAAAAAGACACGCCGAACCTGAAGATTCCCTGACGGAGTGCTTTTTTTCCTGGTACTGTCAGCTGTGAGCCTTTTCCAGCCTGCCAGGTCCGGGAAGCCGTGGAGAGCACCACGAAGTGGTTGGAGGAGAACCCCCAGGCCTGCGGATGTGGGATGAGATGTTCATATTGCAGGCAGGGTCGAAAGCATCGCAGAGGTCTCCTCCTCCTCAGCCTCATCATCATCAGCATCATCGTCAGCATCATCAGCATCACCGTCACCATCACCATCATCATCATCATCATCATCATCATCGTCGCCATCATCCTCATCACCACCATCATCATGACAGGAATCACACGCATGCTGTTTCACATATTCTGTTAGGAAACCCCAGCTTAACTTGCAACCAGACGCATGCAGGATAAACGGAACAATGCCAGGCGTTGCTGCATGTGGCGGCTGTGACAAGACAATTCCGAGGTTACATGTGCATATACACTTAGACGAATGTACACGTGCTCATGTACACTTCTTCATATGTAATACGCACACACATACACCACATGTCTGGTAGTGTACATGCGCATACATGATGTGTGTATACCTACTTACATACATACGTTCATACATACGTACTTACATGCGTACGGACATACATACTACGTACACACATACGTACACGCATGTGCGCATGTGTGCTAGATCCTAGCACATACACTTTCCAGTCTAGAGCCTGTTTTGGCAATTGTCGCGGATTGCGCTCTGCAGGCAGAGGTGGAGGCTTGCGAGGCCAAGCAGAAGGAGCTCGAGGCCCATCCTTGCCTTGCTCGACAAGTTGGGTTGTTTAGGGTGTAGGGTTTAATCTTGTCTTACATCGATGTAATCAAGAACTAGCTGACGTGGCCATCCAGATATTGTCCGGCTCTCTGGGTGTAGCAGTGGTGCTGGTCGCTATCATTACCTCGGGTTGGAGTTTGCAAGGGCCTTGAGTTACTTGCATAGATTGCCCAGCTTCCCTGTTGAGAGGGTCTGGGGTGAATCTCAGCAGGGTGAGGGGGACCTCCTGGCTCCATCCTCGTTGTTGATTGCCTTTTTGTGGAGGCTTTCAACTTGAGCATGGCCATGCAGTCGAGTCGAGTTTTGTTCAATCCTCCGAGTCATGAAGCATGTGCTGCATCGGACTGTTCTTCTGGTGTATGCCTGTGTTCGGCAGGCTGTAGAAACGAGCTCAGGTTGAGGCGGAGGGCGCAAGAGAACTGAACCTCAGCACACATCCAGAGCACACGCTTGTCGAGTGGCGTTTGAATTGAAACCGAACGTTACAGCAATCGAGGCTGGGATATCGGGACTTCTTTACCTGCTTTTCTTGCCGCCAGGGCGTGGTGAATCCGATCATGGTGAGGCGCAGGGCTTGTGCATGGTCTTGTTCTGGACTTTGGCTGTTGGAATCAGGACCTGTTGAATTGGATAGGCCTGAACTCATTGAGACATCACTCCTGACAGCCAAAGGCTTTGTCCAACGAGTGCTGATCCTCATCTTGCATTCGCAAGTCCATCTCGCATGGTCTTAAGCAAGAGCCAGGAAATGCCGACGGAGCCTTCTGGCGCCTAAAGAACCCCGAAACCCTGCCGTGACCAAGTAATCAGGATCTACGGCGAGGCGGCAAAGGAAGGAGGCGGCGACGCCAAGGATTGCTGTGGTTCATTATACAACATGTCGGGTTCTACGGTGTAGCCATTTCGGATACCGGGGCCATGAACCTAATGGACTTTGGCCTGGGATCGGGTCATTCAAAGCAGCCCACAACTGAAGCAGCGTTTCCAGGATGGAGGGGAGATGGGAACGAGATTTCCACTTCGTTTCAAGAATCCTTGACCCTTCTCCAGCTGTTGGGTGAGATTGAAAGTGTGGGGTTAAGCCTTTAAGCAAACACTCCAATGCTGCGGTATGTTGTGGCGCCTTGTATGCTAGGAGTTGATCAAAGCAAGAAGTCTGAGCTTTCAGAGTATCGCTCAAGCAGGGATTCCCCACAAAAGTCATCCAGCAAACCCGAAAGGGTAGTTCTCTAAATTGGGGTCCCTTCTTCGGGGGTCCTTTTTATAAGGGTGCCGTACTATATTGGGGACCTAACAAGGACCCTAATCTAGAAAACTACCCAAAAAGTCAAACGGCCGCTACAAGTGAACTCCCCAAGCTAGCCGAGAGTCATAGGGCAAAGCTTGCCCCAGGACTCCAAGTTCTCGGAGGAGTAGGCCTCGGCCCCGGAGACTTCAGAGACTCCCAGAGACCTCTTTAATTTCAGGAGTATATATATATATATATATGAGAGAGACACCTCTAGGGTATATTTAACGCCTTGCTTACTCCAGATATTTCAATATTTCAATTATTTTGATTATTTTGGATAGCGCGAGAAC